AAGGTATTGAACTGATTGGAAGAACTTTTATATCTATATACATATACATAATATATAACTAATATTCAAACGACACTCGGACAAACAACTGATACCCTAAGTCCACAACCAAACAAGGAACAGGAAATAAAGCGAGTTATCAATCCTAAGTCCTTTCAACCTTATTTATATAACTATATCCATATAGACATGATTTGGACAATATATAAGTTTAAAAGAGTTTTGTAAAATGCTAAAGAGTTTAACATATAAAAGAGTTTATAGAATGATTTGAAGCAGTTTGTTTGATAACACAGTTTTGAAGTATAAGAAATCCATTTGTTTTAAAGTTATTAATCATATGTGATTGATACAATAACTATTAATGTTTTCTACTTGTATTCCCCCCCCCCCCTAAAAGCATTTAAAATCATATAAAAGATAAGTTAAGGGGTATGAACTCACCTGTAATGAGTGATTCGAATGTAAGATCGATATAGGATACAAAGTGTCAAGTGAAGTCTCGAGCACAAACGGATCCTATTAAGCATATAATGACACATATATGTATATAATTAGTGTATTTAACAACTAATCATGATAGGGAACAACCTTAGGGACTAGGAAACACTTGGAATGAAGTGTTACAATAACATATGATTGTTCTAAAGGAGTTCACGGCCAAACAAAGGGATGTCCACGGCCTTAAGAGGGTTCACGGCCTATGAACACATGATGTGTTCATGGCCCAACGTTGATTCTATGAGGTGTTCACGGCCAAACCTTGCATCTTAATAAGGGTTCACGGCCATGTCAAGATCCTATGAAGGGTTCACGGCCCAATGAAGGGTTCACGGCCGTGAACTCTTGAAGATCTTGCAATTTGATGCTTGTTTCATGGATGTAATCAAGTGATTAAATGGACAACAAGTTAAGGGAAGGGATACTCACTTTTTGGTAGCTTTGAGTAGTGTTCACGGTTGAAGAAGTTGAGAGAGAATGAGGAGTGTTCACGGCTAGGGTTGACGGATTTGGAAAAGTGTAGAAAATGAGTCATATTTGTTTATATAGGGGACTTGTTCACGGCCAGGAGTCTAGATGTGGCCGTGAACCCCTTTTGATGGGGTTTCCGGCTCAATTACAACTCAAAGAACCCGAGCTAACACATCCTAACACATCCTAACACACAAACCTTGAGTGTACTAGGTTTAAAACTCTCAAACAGACTCTTAACAATGTTAAAAGATAACAAAAACAAGTCTGACTTTTGATTGAATTGATTGACTTTACAAGATAGAAATTTCGGGTTGTCACAACATTAGAGTGTATATGCAACAAACTCACAATCACAACCGCTTAGCATACAAAATTTACTATCATTAACAAGAGCATGATAATTTTTTTATTACAATATCAAATAATGATGTTTAATGTCATGTAATAGACTAATAATAAACTAAATTTACTACATTAAATTAATCTATATAGAAATAAAAAATGTGACATTGCATTTGAAAAGTCATACATATTCTCTAAAGGGATAATGACTTAAAAGGGTAATATCATTTACATTGTGTAAATATATTTATTTTTTTACACAATTAGTCATTTATGTTTTTTGTATATATTTAATCACTTATGTTTTTTATTTTGTACACATATGACCATTACATTTAATGATCATATGTGTACAAAATAAAAAAAATAAGTTACTTTTTTAAAGCATTATCCTTTTTCTATATCATCATAATCAAATTCTCCTTCCGGTTCTTATTTAATCACTTAAAAGCATGTCTTATTAATTCATTCATAGTAAACTAGTTTTTTTTATAACGGCTCTAAGTCAACAATTTAAGCGGTTTTATGTCGTAATAGGCCGGTCCAATCCGATTTGTAAATAACAAAAGGGATTTTAAGTCAATAATAAGATTTTCTAAGATTTGCCTACGACATACATAAAAAAAACATTAATTATGACGAATATTAACGTAATTAAATGTGAAATGATTTAATTATAAAGAATATTCTTTAGTTAACTAATGTATTTTATATTTTTCAATAAGAAATATTCTAAATGAATTAAATGGTAACATTCACGTTATTAATATTCATATGTATCTTATATAAAGGTACATGTTTAGAAAATCTGACAACCAAATATCACTCTTAATTGACCGTTATTTTTTACCGTTCAATATCCAACTGGTTCGACCAACCTGGTTAACCCGGGTTTTAAAACATCTGTCTTAACTCTTAACCCTAACAAAGTTCGTCTCACTCTCTTAAACACTGATACACTCTTGGATTTTCTTTGTTACTCTAGATCGATATCAAAAGCGGATCATTCCTTTGTTCTTCTTGTCATTTAAGCAATGGTGCTGGTGAGTTTTTGTTGCTTTATGTTAGTTTTAATTAGTTGATGCGTTTCTTTTTTTTTTTGGAAAGAGTAGTTGATGCTTTTCCTGTGTGGAGTTTGCAATGAATCTCTTGTTTTATATACAAATCGTACAGATGAGGGTTTTGATGTGCATTTTTCGTAGACCGTTTTGTTTAGTTTACTGATTTTAACTTTCTCCCTCTCTTCGTGATTTGAAGAACTCACCAGTACTTCAATCATTCACTTCAACTACTCTAATCTTCGACATTGCTGTTGTTTTGACTTTTGTGTACTCAATCGATCATGCTTTGGCTCTGTAGTTATAGTCGTGCTGGGCAACGGGTCCAAACGGGTTAGGGTTAAGAACATTTGGAATATGGTCGGAGCTTAAGCAATATGTTTCTATTTAGCATGATTATTTGCTTTATTCTGAATGTTATTTGTGGTTATATCACCATTTTTGAAGTTATTTTAATTGTTGAAACTTCTGTTGTTGTTGGCTCTATCTTTATGCTACTTTGTGGGGTAGAATAGATGTCTTAGCTTTTGATATATGAAATGTGAGGCTCTATTGTTGGTTTTAGATCCTTTGATATTTATATTCTTGAGTCAACTGATTCCTTTCCATTTGATATATTGTGCTTGTTACAGATTATACATTCAGAATTAAACAAGAATGTTTGCAAGGCATTAATTGCTGCAGAATATGTTGGTGTTGAAGTCAAAATGGCTGAAAATTTTCAAATGGGCAAGTCAAATAAGTCTCCTGAGTTTCTTAAGTTGAACCCTCTTGGAAAGGTATTGTTTTATGGTTTAATCTTATTAATACTTCCTACAAAAATTCAAATTTTTTTTTTAATGTTTTACACCACATGATTTGCAGGTTCCTGCGCTTGAGACTCCCGAGGGGCCTATATTTGAGAGTAATGCAATTGCTCGCTATGGTGAGGGACAAAATAGTCATTAACATTTCTAATCTTTTTTTCTTTAATTATTATTATGGTTGATGGTTCTTATTTTGTCATGTTGTTTGTTGAAGTTGCTCGTTTGAAGCCTGAAAATACTCTCTTTGGATCTTCACCGATAGAATATGTAAGTTCTTTTGTGTTCTTTTCTCATGAATCATGATGAAGGAATAATGATACTTCTATATAAAAAAGCTGGTTTAATTTAAAAAATATATATATTTTTTATACAGGGCCAAATTGAGCAGTGGATTGACTTTTCTGCATTGGAGCTTGATGCAAATATGAGGGCATGGGTCTTTCCAAGACTTGGATATGCCACATACATCAAATCTGTTAGTTACTCCTGTTCTTTTCTTTTGTTTTTTTAATATTATTCTTTTGGTTGTTTGATATTTTTTTTGAAATGGTCTAAATGATAAATTTGTGTGTATGATTTGAAGGCTGAGGAGAGTTATATATCTGGTGTGAAAAGAGGTCTTGGTGCTCTAAACACGCA